CGGCCGGGCTCCGCGCCTGTCAAACCCCTCATTGTTCGCAGCTGATGTCACTCGCAGTTGTGAGCGGCCGCCTCTCCCGGGGACAATGTGGGACTGAGCGGCCCAGCCGCCTCGCCGCCGTCGCAGGACAGCCCCAGCGAGGTAGGGCGCCGGCCGGGCGGGGCGCAGCGGGCCGTGAAGTTTGGGGGTTCGGCTGGGGGCGGGGAGTCCGCGCCCCGGTGCACAGTTTAGGACCCTGGGAGGCAGTGAGAGGAACACATTCCTGTCCTGAGAGGCTGCGGCCTGCATTGCTGGGGGCCCCTAGTCTACCAGAGAAGCCCCCGGACAGGGGAGGGGTTTCCAGGACCTTAGTTACCAGCTTTGACGCCCCCCCCATTTCTGTCCTTTGACCCTGCTCCTTTCTCACTTTCTGCCCTGGATTCGGGTTCTGCTCCCTCTGCCATCCTCCTGCAGCTTCTGGCTGGCACACACCCCTTCCCATTCTCTGCAGTGTCTGGAGGAGCCAGACACACACCTCCAGGCCAAGGGTGTATGGAGACCACAGTTGGGGTGCAGAGTGGTCCTTCTTGCCCATCTTCATCATCTTAGTACCTATGCTCTTCATTGAGTCCTGGGAGGTGGAAGAGGGGGCTGTGCTACTCCAGCCTGACCCTTGTGCCTGCCAGTCCAGAAGAGGGAGGTGGCCACCTCCTCACTCCCCTGTCCCAGGCCCGCCATCTTGAGACCTGTGGCACCCAGGGCCCCACCCCACCCCAGTACCCAGGAGAGTGGTCTTCAAAGGGATGCATCTTGGGCCTTCTAGCATGTGGGACTTTGTGTCCCCACCAAGCCCAGGATGGTCACCTACATGCTGGACCAACAGGAAATGTGTCCCCCTGGTCTCCTTCCCCTACAAAGGGCTCTTAGACCCCAGGCACGCCCCAAGAACTGAGCTTTGGCCCTGTTGCTTGGGGTCACCCTCATGGATGGCACCTGAGACCCTGTTGTTCCCCCAGCTGAAGATCTAACCCTTCTAGGTCCTGGAACCCCCTCAACTTCCAAGGAGGCCCCCATCCCAGCCCCCACCCCCAGCCTTCATCAGCATGCAGGCTCAGGCTGCCCAAACACAAGGGGATTGTTCTCCTTGCATGCTCAGGGTGGGGGGCTGGGACCAGGCAGCCCACACACCCTGGCAGCCCAGGCCTGTGGAGGCTGCAAGCCCCACCCTGTGTCCCCATACAGGCTCTATCCACCTTCCCAGCCCCTTCACTGCCCCCTCTGCAGCCTCCATCTCCACTGTCCAGTGGCACTGACCTCTTGAAGAAAGATTGAAGAAGGAGCTATGCTGCACAGGTGGACCTTGGGTTATCCCAGTCTGCCGGTTGTCTCTGGTGCAATCCTACAAACAACTTCCACTGGGTCTCAGGTTCCCCTCTCAATTGCTGAGGCTTTCCTAGCTGTGATAGGCTGAACCCTGCCTAGCTCTGTAAAACCTGCCCCATACTCTGAGGCTTTCTCCAGCCTCTGTGCCCCTCAGGAAGCCCATTTGGCCTCCCAGAAGTCTCACACCAGCTCCTATTCCTCACCCCAGCCACATTCCCAGGGAGCCTCTAGACCTGGAAAAACAGCAGGAACAGGGGCTGCAGGTGCTTTGGAAGGAGCTGGGAATCTTGTATAGGTAGGTTCTGACTCTGCCCATGTGGTTAGTTCCTTAATCCCAGGACTCTGAGCCTAATGGTGCCTACAGCCCCTAGGCCTATGAGCCCTAATTCTTTTCCCTCACCCTAAGCCTACCCTTAAATCTCGTATTCTCCAGAAGCACTGTGTGTAGTGAGAAAACAGGCTCAGAAATTCCCATTGGGAATTCTTCTGAGTTGTGTGGCCATGTCACTGGGATGTGCAGACGCACATCCAGTGATTACATCTGATTTGGAAGGTTGGGGATGGCTCTGTGGAAGAGATGGCATTTGAGAAAGATTGTGACAATGTGAGGAGTATGGGTATTTCAAGCTGGGATCACCAGCCCAGAGGCCTCGAGGTGCCTGGCCTGTTTTTGGAGCCTGGTATGTTTGAGAGATGGGATGGAGTCAGACAGGAGAAGCTGGCAGGGTCAGGCTCATGAAGGGACCTGATCCCAGTTCATAGAGATCAAGCTTTATTCCCTGGGAACTAGGGAGCCATTGATGTTGAGCAATAGAGTAAGCACAGTCTTAAGGAGGGAGAATAGATGCTAGAGACCTTTTCTCAATTTGGGTGAGACAAGGAAAAGATACTATGGACTTGTGCTGCACCATGAGGGTGTGGCCTTTCTCCTGTGTCCCTGTCTGGACCTGGGCCTAGCTTATCTGGGTTTCTCTTGATGATGAAGGAGATGGTATAGCATGATGAGGAGAATGCTATAGCATGTCCAGTATCTGCAAACTTATCAGGACTTCCTTTTCCAGGCCCCCTTCCCTGCTGGCCACTCTGGCTGTAAGACATACCTGACTCAAGAAACCAGAGGCTGGAATTTGTACAGCCTAGGCTGCTCTCCTGCAGTCTCCTCCTAAGCCTCCTCCATCCAAAGTTAGATGTGATGGGTCATGATGGGAGGCTGAAAACCGAGGCTGGTCCATGGCTCTGAGGATGCTAGGGCAGATCCTGCATCCTTGCTGATGAGCCAGGTCTGTGTCCTTGTAGTAGGGGGAAAGGTAGGGGAGTGAAGAGCCCTCAGGGCTGCTACCCACCTCTGCTCTCTACACTTCTGCCACGCCCTGCCTTGCCTGATGCTCAGAGCTATTCCCTAGCATCACTGGGTGTGGCCAGCATGGCTGCTTTTGGAGTGAGAATAGAAAGACGCCGCTAGGTTGGGAGCTGGGAGTGCTGAGGGAGATGGAGCTCTCTTCCTAGCCCAGGTGGGTCCATAGGCCCTTACTGGTCCAGACACTCCAGCCAGCAGAATGGAGGGAATCCCCCAAGGGGCGGGCCAGTCTTCTTGAGTTGCCTGGCCCCAGGAGCCCTCCCCTCCCCTGGATTGTTCTTACTCCAGAACAAAGCCAGGGTGGACACTTGATCCCTGCCTGTGGAGGGAGCTGGCTAAGCCCCTAGTCCTTTGATTGGGCAGCTGTCATGGGAGAGAGACAGCTGGGGAGGAGGGGCAGGAAGGGGGCAGCCGCCATCGCTTACACAGCTGTCATTCTACCCCCACCCCCGCCCTGCGCCCTCCAGCCTGAGTGGCAGGAAGCCAGGGACTGAAGAAGTGGGCACTGGAGGGTCTGGGGAGGGGATCTGGAGAGCAGAAGGGACTCCTGAGGTAAGACCTTGGTCTGAGCTTGGTGTGTTCTGCCAGGGAGCCCTGCTGACCAAAGGTGAGCTGGAGGTCAGTGTGGCATGATGTGTGGCTGCCATGAGGGTGGCCCCCCAGAGACCTAACGCCCATCAGACTGGACAGAACTCTCTAGAGCCCCAGTGAGGACAGGGGAGCCAGTAGTGCCTAATGGGGCTGCTTATTTTTAGGGCCTTACCAGAATAATTTTGAGATGTGAGTCAGGACCCTTTGTTCTCTCCCTGAGACAGGAAAGAATTTGAGGATCTTTCAGAACAGGAAGGACACAAAGACCAGCAACCTTCTCCCATCCTCAACCCCTAAACATGTATGAAGTGGGTGAGGCAAGGTCCAGATCAGAGGAGGCCTAGATCAAGGTCACACCCTGATTTTGAGGCAGTTAAGGCCTCTGTTGCAGACTCAGGTGTCCTTTTCGCTGGGACTCAGGTGGGAGTTCCAGTTCTGGCCATGTATCCCTCTCCTCCCCTTGCTGCCACCCTGTCTTTCCTGGGGCCACAAGAGGTGACTAGGTGGTATGGGAACAATGTCAGGACTTGCACTGATTACTATCCCAATGGGGTCCCTATACCTTCACAAAATTCTAGAGTTTAACACCATGGCTTTGGACATGCTGCTAGCCCTTCGCAGCAGGACCCACGTTCACTAGCCAGGAAAGGGTCTCTTAGATGACCAAAGCCTATGGCTGCCTTTGAAAAGGTCCTCCTCCAGGAAGAGACCCAGACAGAAGCAGCCAGGGAGGGGACCAGGTGAGGCCTTGGTCAGCCATGAATTAGCAAGAAGGACCAAACCTTTCTTCTGTGCCTTTTCTCTCTGTGACCTTGGCCTGGTTATAGACCCTCTCTGGGTATCAGGTTTCCACTCTACATGGTGAACTCAACTTGCTCAGTTACCAGTATGTTTCAGCACCTTCTCTGGCCTGGCTCTGAGCTGAGCCCACTGGACCCAGACAGAAGCTGGCAGCCTTGGCTCCTGCTCTAAGGGCTCCCAGGCTTGGCTGTCCAGGGAGGCAGAAACCAAGCGCGTCATCACAAGTGCTTTGATGGGGGGAAGTGCAGGCCGCCAGGGGAATGTTAGCAAGGGCAGCCAGCGCCAGAGGTTGGCTGGGATGCCAGAGAGCACAGTTCCTTCATCTACTGCTGCTCTCCACCCTGTGGAGAGCTAATTGCAGAACTCGAAGGAGGAGCAGGGTTGGCATCCCCATTGTAGGGGTGGGGAAATGGAGACTACATGTGCACTGGTCACTCAGGCTGTAACACCCTTTCCCCTTCCATTCCAAGCCCTGACTAGCAAGGAGCATTTCGAAGTGGGCACTGGAGAGAGCTCCATGCCAGGACAGAATGAGGGTCTGAGGGAGAAGAGACTCAGCGGCTCCCATGTGCTCCAAAAACAGTTTATGCATCCTTGGTTCCCACCCATCCCTAACCCCTAAGGGAAAAAGAATTTTCAGGGTTAGGCTTTAGTTTTGGATTTGGCACCAGCTGGTCCCACTCTCTATCCTCCTTGAGTTCTGGGCTGCCAGTGAGCTCCCCAGCAAGGCTGAGCCTTGGTGGGAGACAGCCGCTGAAGAAGGATTTCCAAGCAGGATTAAGATTCAAGATTAAGTTGGGGCACGAAAAAAGGGTCTTGTGGGGAGGGTTAGAGGCTGAGCTAATCCCAGTAGCTAATCTCAGGCTCTGCCTTCCTCTAGCAGTTAATGGCCTTGACATTCCTGCAGCCCACTGAATCCCTTCCTTGCCCATTGCTCAGTCTCAAGGAGACAGAGATGGACCATATCCTCTTTATTGTATGAGTAAAGAAATCGAGACCCTGGACACAGGGTTTGTTTCTGGTACAGGAGAAAGTATCCATGTGGGGAGTGTGGCCAGCCTGGATGCTTCTCACCTCCTGTGCCAGGGCCATTCTCAGAAGGGCACATAGGGAAGCTAAGAAAACACGGCTTCTGAACCCCTTCTTCCACCCCCAGCCTAGTGCTGAATGTGCCCTGCTCAGAGCTGTCCATGCGCAGCCTCTGCTCAGGTGATCTCTAGTAGATGGGCCCAGGCTCTGGAGGCAGGGGGAAGGCTGGGGCAAGAGGGCTCTATCTACAGCCTCTCCAACTTTCTTGCTATCTTCCCCTTAAGACCTCCCATGGCTATTCCAGCTTCCTCTGATCCTCCGCCCTTAAGACAGCGAGGCTCTTGTTCGGAGTAATCTTTAAGACTTAACTCCATGTTTAGGGCCCAGTCCACAGGGGGCTTCTCTTTCAAGAAATCAAGGATAAGGTTGTCCTTTCTGTCCTCCTATAGGTCTCCTAGTTATTTCTTTGATTGATTGATTGATTGATTGATTGGTTGGTGTTGGGGTTAAATCCAGGATCTTGTACATGGTAGATGAGAACTTTCCCACTGAGCTATATATACCACAGCCCTCCCCATATAGGAAAGGAAGGAAATGACAGGGAAGCCGGGTCCCCACTATGTATGTGCTTAATTTTATTTTATTTTAGCTTTTTTTTTTTTTTTTTTTTTTTTTGCGGAACTGGGGATTGAACTATTTTAGCTTTTTTGAGACAGGGTCTGGCTGTGTAGTTTAGGCTGGCCTTGAGCTCACTTTGTAGCCCAGGCTAGTCTCAAACTCACAATGATCCTCCTGTTTCAGCCTCCCAAGTGCAGGGATCACAGGCATGGATCACTATGCCTGGCCTTGCACTTTCTTCTTAAATTGTCCAGATTTAAGGGTAGATAAGAATCAGTATCACTTTTCCTGATGTGTGAAGCTGGGCCCAGAAGGGTTAAGTGACCTGTCCAGGATTACACAGCTAATGAGGCACACACAAAGAACACTGATGAAAGGGACATTTGGAACTCAAAATCCATGCTGTCTTTCTCTCTCTGGGAGTTTGATTAGCTTGCCTTGGCCAGGCTCCTCATGTAAGGGCGGGGGCAACTAGGTTCCTCTCTGACCCTTTCCTTATCCCTACCAGAGCCAGCCAGGCCACAGTGTGGACACACCCCCAGGCCACTGTGGCCCCAGCCCCGCCTGACAGGATGAGCAGTTCAGATGCGGGGCTGGAGGAGGAGCCAGAGCTTAGCATAACCCTCACACTACGGATGCTGATGCATGGGAAGGTGAGTGGGGGGGTTGGGATGCCTGGCCAGTGCCAGTTTGATCTCAGGAGTCCATCTTCGGTAGACCTCTGCCTGGGTGAGGGAAGGGGCCAAGCTTGGGGCATTGATACCCATCTCACTCCATTCTTATCTTGTTGGCAGGAGGTGGGCAGCATCATTGGAAAGGTAGGTGTCCAGTTCTGGTTGGTATGTCCCCCTCAGCCCAGGGAGGTGGTGCCTGCTCAGGGTAAGTGTGATTTTATGTTTTGCCTCCTACAGAAGGGAGAAACTGTCAAGCGGATCAGGGAGCAGGTGAGGAAGGAGTTTGTGGGAGGAGCCCAGGATACCTGATGTGGAGGCAAAAGAGATCCCTGAACCACTCTATTTGGGAAGAGCACTGGGTATCTGAGAGGATGGTGGTTTCCGGTCTTGACTGAGGCCTGGGGAGTAGGGAATGTACCCTATTACCTGGCACTCATTCTGTACCTGCAGAGCAGTGCCCGGATCACCATCTCTGAAGGCTCCTGCCCTGAGCGCATCACCACCATCACTGGTTCCACAGCCGCTGTCTTCCATGCAGTCTCCATGATTGCTTTCAAGCTGGATGAGGTCTGGGGCTGGCAGGCTGGGAGTTGAAGGGTGGTTCTTGGGTGGAAGTGGGGAGCATGGCTGACTTCAGATTGTGGCTATGGGTGTGGGAAGAGAGGTCAAGCCCAGGGTAGTGTTCTCTTGGAGCAGTATGGGGAAGGATACCTACCAAATTCCTCAGCAGGCAGATGCTTGAGGAGGGGTGGGAGAGGAGTGGGGGCGTGTGGCCAACCCACTATCTCCCTGTTCCCAGGACCTCTGTGCTGCTCCTGCAAATGGTAGCAGTGTCTCTAGGCCTCCAGTGACTCTGCGCCTTGTCATCCCTGCCAGCCAGTGTGGCTCACTGATAGGGAAGGCTGGCACCAAGATCAAGGAGATCCGAGAGGTAAGGGCAGAGGGACGTCCTCCAGAGGAGTTCCCTGCACTGTAGCTGTGGGAGACTCCTGTGCTTATGGCTTCATGTCCCTAGGACAGCTCTAAGTCCAGGAGCCCTTCTGTAGGCTGTCGAAGTAGCCAAAAGTAGCCTCTGTTTTCCATTTGCAGACTACAGGTGCCCAGGTGCAGGTGGCAGGGGACCTGCTCCCTAATTCCACAGAGCGTGCTGTCACCGTGTCCGGGGTGCCTGATGCCATCATCTTGTGTGTGCGCCAGATCTGCGCTGTTATTTTGGAGGTGCTGCCCTGGGGCAGAGAAAGAGGGGGCAGGAGATAGGCCTTGAAGCACCAGGTTGGGCAGGGTGGTGCTGCAGGGATAAATTATGAGTTCCAGAGTATGGGGATGCATTTATCTGGGGGTCCTGCTGGAGGACTTGAGGCTATTGAGCATTTGGGGCCTGAGAGGGTCCCAAAAGAGCCTTTCTCATTTGTGCCTTCCAGTCCCCACCCAAAGGAGCCACTATTCCATACCATCCGAGCCTCTCCCTAGGTACTGTCCTCCTTTCTGCCAACCAGGTAAGTGGACAGTGGGATGGGTGGGAAGTATTATTGGAGAAGGGGGGCCAAGTTGAAGGGGGGGTAGAAGAAGAAATTGTGGAGAGGGAGGTGTGACCCTGGTCAGCCTGCTCTGACCTGTCACAATAACAGCCCTTTCACCTACTTTGTCTCATAGGGCTTTTCTGTTCAGGGTCAGTATGGAGCTGTGACCCCTGCTGAGGTGAGTGAGCTGTAGCTGAAAGCCTCCCTTTCTGAACTAAACCTCCTCTGACCCCGACCCCTCTTCTTTGACACAGGTCACCAAGCTCCAGCAGCTCTCAGGCCATGCAGTCCCCTTTGCCTCACCCAGTGTGGTGCCAGGTAAGCAGCCCCTGTGGGAGGAGGCTGGGGCCTGTGATGGATATGGGGTTTAGAGGCCCAGAACACACTCAGTTCCTCTTCTCTGCCTCAGGACTGGATCCCAGTGCACAGACCAGCTCCCAGGAGTTCCTGGTTCCCAATGACGTGAGCAGAGGATATGGTGGCTGGAGGGTGGGAGGGGAGGGCTGGTGCTGGGCCTTGCCCGGGGTCAACTTCTGCCTTTCCCCTAGCTGATTGGCTGTGTGATCGGGCGTCAGGGCAGCAAGATCAGCGAGATCCGGCAGATGTCAGGGGCACATATCAAGATCGGGAACCAAGCAGAGGGTGCTGGTGAGCGGCATATAACCATCACTGGCTCACCAGTCTCCATTGCCCTGGCCCAGTACCTCATCACTGCCTGGTGAGCATGGGGTGGGCATAGGGGATCCCAGGTGGGGAGGGGAGAACTGACCTTTTTCTCTGGACTGGTCCTCTGCTTCCCCAAACTCTTACATCTCCATGGTATTCGACCCAGTCCCCTGTTGTTCCATCCCTATCCTCTCTTTCCCCCTTGCTGTCTCTTTCCCCTGGGTCTTTGCCCGCAGCCCCATTTCTCCTGTCCTCCCATACTTATCTGAGTATCTTCCTTCTCTTCTTCCTCACATGTTTACCTTTTCCCTCTTCACCCAAGCACACCTACCCCTGTCATTGCTGTCAGTGATTCTCTTTTCTTCGGCTAATCTCAAGCCATTTATCTTCCTTCATTGCCCCCATCTCACCCCTGCTCTCCCCTTCATCTCCCCTCTATATCCCTCTCTCCAGTCTAGAGACGGCCAAGTCTACCTCTGGGGGGACGCCCGGCTCAGCCCCCGCAGACCTGCCTGCCCCCTTCTCGCCGCCCCTGACGGCCCTGCCCACGGCTCCCCCAGGCCTGCTGGGCACACCCTATGCCATCTCCCTCTCCAACTTCATCGGCCTCAAGCCTGTGCCCTTCTTGGCTCTACCACCTGCTTCCCCAGGGCCACCACCGGGCTTGGCGGCCTACACTGCCAAGATGGCAGCAGCCAATGGGAGCAAGAAAGCTGAGCGGCAGAAATTCTCCCCCTACTGAGGCCAGCTGAGGCACAGGCGGGGGCAGGCAGGACCTCCGGCAGGGTCTGCCTCCACATCCTACCTGTCCAAGGAAACTCCACCCTGGGGTCCCAAACGCAGCCGCTAATGCCAGACGCATGGATACACCCCCTACCTTGCCCATCTTTGGAGTTCCTACTTTTGGAAAAGGGGCAGTTTTAGGCCCAGGGTTTTGGGAGCTGCGGCAGCCCTAGGCCAGAGGACCCCATCTTCAGCTCTGGGAGCAGCCAGGGGCCTCCCTAGTGCCCCACCATGGGGGATCCATGTATTCTCCATCCCTTAGGGCTCCCCACCTACTGCCCCTCCCCCCAGTGGGAATCAAGGAGGCCAGGGGCCAAGCTTCTCTCCAACTCCCTGCAGATTCCCGCTGCTTCCATGGATAACACTTTTTGACTGGAATGGACTGGCTGGGCAACCCAAAGAGGGGGCTCTGCTGGGTGGCTGGGGGAGTGGCTTGGGGGGCAGGGGCCCAAGCAGCAGACACTCTGTACAGTTTTTTCAATCCCTGTTTTTGAATAAATATTCTCAGCGACCAGAAAGGTGTGAAATACTGGTGTTGGGGTGGTAAAATCTGGGGAAAATGGGTGTAGTGGCAGCCCCAGAGGACCTCCATTTCTGGCTCCCGCTCCAGCCCCATCCACACACCAGTGCTCAGTTTCGGGGCCCTTTGGGGTTGTCCAGCCTCCTGCTTCTAACATTGGGCAAATCTAGTTGTCTTCTGGACACAGAAGTAGATAGAAGAGTTTCAGTAGCTTTGTCCAGCCTCTCCTGGTTCAGATGCCAGGGAAGTCCTTCTGAGTGGTTCCTCCTACTGTGGCAGTACCCCAGACCCTTTCCTGCTTGGCCCAGCACTTTGGCTGTGGGCCCTGGCACCTTCTGTCCTCCCTAGACTTGGGGGCTATCCATGAGTTTAACAGACAACCTGTGCTGGAGGGTCCCTCAGAGATGGTGCAAAGTCCAGAAGGGAAAACAGGTCTCAGGAGAGGAGAGTAGGTTGTGCGCAAGCTGTGCCTTGTTTGTCCCAGAACCCAGAATTCCCAAGAAGTCTCTGGGCCTGCCAGACTGCAGACAAACTCTCCCGTTTAAGAGCCAAAAGTCCAGGCTGGGCACCTGTTGCCACCTGTGCAGGAGGCTGGATGGGTCTTCTTTGGTATCACCCACTTTCTTCAGTCAGGAGAGGCAGCTCTCAAGTCGTTTCCGGCAGGTGTGGGCTCGGTCCTCCCAATTCTCGAGCCTGCTGGGGTGCCTGAGAAGGGCCGAGGGCAGGGCCTTCTGGTGGTCCCTTGAGGCGCTGCAGGAGTGCCCGAGGGTGCCAGGCTTTGGGGACCTGGGGCAGAGCACGGCGGGTGAGGCGACCCAGCGCCAAGCGCACAGGGCGCTGCAGCAAGCCGTACAGAAAGGGATGAGCTGCAAAGGCCGAGTAGGCCACCCAGGTGACTGCCGCCTCAGCCTCTGCGGCCCGCGCCGCGGGCGCCAGACACGCGCAGCCATAAGGCAGCCAGCAGGCTGCAAATTGGCCCACGGCCAGAGCTGGGGCCAGGGCCGCCTTGCCCCCGGGCAGGCGAGGCCGGAGGGTCGGCAAGAAGGAGAGGCGGCTGTCCAGAGAGTCCGAGCGCAGCCGGGCTCCGCGCACGGGCAGTGGGGGACGCAGGGCGGCACGCCGCGCTACGAAGAAGATGCTGCCGTAGGCGCCGAGCAGCAGAAGCGCGGGCAGAGCGAAGGCCAGCAGCGCCCAGAGTGGTCGGAAGGGTCCGAGGCCCCCGACTAGGACAGAGCAGCGCGCTGGAGCCGGCGGCGGGGCAGGCGGCGGCCCAAGCAAGGACAGCGCGCCCAGGAGTACTGCGGCGGCCCACACAGCGGTAAGCACCAGCCCCGCAGGCCGCCCGCCTGGCCGCAGCGGGTGTGCAATGAGGCGATAGCGCGCCAGGCCGAGCGCGGCCACGCCGAGCGTGCATGCCGGCAGCAGCGTCGCGGAGAGGAAGCGTGCAGCGCGGCACGGCGCGGGCCCCAGGCGCATGCGGCCCAGCCCTGGAGGAGGTGCAGCCAGCAAGCCCAGGGGCATGATGGAGGCGGCCGCCAGCAGGTCCACAATGCACAGGTGCACCAGGTAGAGCGCGTCTTGTAGTCCTGGCGTGCGCAGCACCACGACCAGCAGTGCCCCGTTGCCCAGCAGGGCCCCCACTTCCACGAGAACAGCCAGGATCAAGCCCACCGAGCCTGCGAGTTCTGTGGCAGTCAGACTTGTGGTGTTGGCCATTGGCGCGCTCAGGCTTCTCCTGTGCTTGTATGCAGAGAGCCGACCGGACCCTCCAGCACCACTGTTCCCATTACCTAACCCTTGCTCTTTTGGGCCCCTCACCTCATTGGCTGCCCAGAAGGGGGCTCCGAAGCCCAGGCTGCCATTCTCTTGGGGGCTTGGTGTGTGCCTTGGAGAGTGCAAGCTGGAGCCTGCTGGCTCTCTCCTCTTGCGGCAGCCCAGCCACTCAGTCTCAGCCGGAGATGGTACTGGCTGTCACTCTGATGTTGCCCTTTGAAGACACATGGAGCCAGCAAGGGAGGGGCAGGGCCTGGTGCCAGCCCCCTGGGTCCTAGCAGCTGCCAGCTGGAGGCTAGAGGCGCTGCTGTGGAAGTGCGGGGGTGGGTGGGGTGGGGGTTGGAGGTGGTAGGGTGGTGAGCTAAGCAAGCACCAGCCTAGAGCCTGAGGGAATTACAGTGGTTTTTAGAGCCAGCTAGATCCTGTCCTGCCTTTGCTAGGGTGGGAAGTATGTGCATAGCGAGTGAGCGGACCAGTTACCTCAAACTGGTTAGAAGAGCTGGAACAGGAAGCCCCTTAGGTATGCTCTGGGCCCCAGGAGGAGTGGCTCTCTTGGAAGGAAAATCCCAGGGCATGGCACATAGTAGGTGCTTGGCCAATATTGACTTGGCACAGAATAGGTACTCCATGACCTGATGGGGAATAGCAAATCTTACGACTTGCTGGTTGTTCATTTTTACTGCTAGCAAATAAGCCCCCTTATGAGAAAAGCACCCTAAACTTTTTGGGGAAAGGACTTGCACTTTGGGTGAGCAAGATCTCCACCATCCATTTTTCCCTGAAGACACAGAAGTCAGTCCTGGCCTATCAGTGTGTGCCTCAAGGTGACTGGCTCAGGGAGAGATGTGTAACTATAGTGTGGCACCCAGTCTCTTGGCAAAACCCCATCTATACCCTCATATCTTACATATGCATCTGAAGCACTTCTTTGAGCCCTGGATTGAGTCTTTTTGTTTGTTTGCTTGTTTTTTTGTTTTCCTTGATGTATTTGGTACAGGGTCTCGTTACGCAGCTCGAACTCATGGTGATTCTCCTGTTTTCAGCCTTCCCAGCACTGTGATTACAGGCATGCGCCGTGACGTCTGGACTCGGTGGCTGGCTCAGTGTGCCCTGGGGCCTGGTGCAGTACATGATCCCTGTGCTTGCCTAAGCAGGGACTTAGTCCACTGAGCTATCTTGCCACCCCCCTGGGATTGAGTCTTTAGCTTGAGTCAGTATCTCCCTTGGGAATCTGACCTAACGGGCACCTCAGACTTTCTCTTCCAAAACAGAACCATGACTCTTGAGCCTCCTCTGTCTGCTCCTTTTTTTCTTTTTTTTTTGAAACCAGACCCTTGAGCTTGCCAGGCAAGTGCTTATTCTACTAAGCTATCTCCCTGGCCCCCCTGCTCCTCCTAGAATCTTTATATTAGCAAACTTCTCAGGATAAAGCTCTCCCTTTACACTACACCCAAATCCAACCCAAAATCCAGTGATTTCTCACCAACAGCCCCAATACCCTGGCCTCTGCCATCACCACCTGTCACCTGAACCATTGAAGCACCCCTCTAACTGATCTCCTGGCCTCTGCCTGTGCATCTTCTGCTGCCATCCGCCTGTTTGCCCTTAAATCTGTTCCCTGTGTCCTTTGTTCCTCTGGCCCCTCACCTCATAGGCTACTGAGGAAGGGGCTCTGATGCCCAGGCTGTCCTCCTCTGGGCTTGCTCCTTACGCTGGGCATCCACACTCCCTGCACTCCTCCATAAGAACTGTACCTGCCTGGCTTCCTTGAGAGTGTGCATTGAGCAGACATAGAAGACTGGAGAATAGAGGAGGGAAAGAGTCTCCTGCTCCATCTGGGACTCCAGGCAGCACCACCATCCCCCCACCATAGCAGACCCTCTCTCCCCTCAGTTCTGATGACTTTCAAACAGTCTCCTGTGGATCTGGTTCTTGCAAGATGATCCTGGCTAGAGCCTTCATCAGAAGTGTTTCCTTCCATTAACTTTTTTTTTTTTTTTTGGTACCTGGGATTGAACTTGGGACCTTGTGCTTGCCAGGCAGGCACTTTTGCCACTGAGCTATATCCCTAACACTTCCATTAACTTTCTACCCTGTATAATGGAGGTGCTTCCTGCGGTACTCACCATTGGAATGTCTCATCATCTGTTGATAGCTCAGTTCTTCCCCTGGATCAGATTCTCCTTGTCTGGATATCTTGGGTAATTTGTTTCAGTGGCTGGATCTTGACTGACACGCGCACACACACACACACACACACACACCCTCCTGACTTCTGTGGAATCATGACTGCTCCCATCCCAGAGCTCCCCATCACCTGTGGCACCTCAGCTCGGCTGTGCTATGTGGTGGCCTGTTATCTGCCTTCTCTCCACATCTCTGCTACCCTCCTCCTTTTCTGCCACACACACAGCCACAGCAACCATCTTCCTGTTCTTGCCAGTGCCTTCTTCCTCTGGATCTTTGCACTCACTGTTCCTTCTGGAGAGGCCTTCTTCGACCATTTTTAACATTATTCCATCTTCCTGTCAGTCTTCAAGTTTTCTTACTGGCACTTTCCTGACCTGACATTACATTTCATATTTATGCATGTGTCAGTTGTGAGCCTGACTTATTAGAATGTAGGAGCGGGGACCTTGGCTGAGTCTTCCTCCAGGATGTGCCCTCCCCCACCCATCACAGGCACATGGCCAGCGTCACTGCAGATCCAGATGGCAGAGATCAGCCACGAACTGCCTGGTTTGACTTTTTGTGCTGGAATTTGGCACAGTTTTCCATTATTCATATAAGAAGACTGAAAGCTTACAGAGTGGAGGAATAAGCCCCAGAACACGCAGCTGGAGCCACCTGCCTCCCAGAGCTGTGTCCACATGGCACCCTGTCCTGTTGTTGGTCACACTTTTAATTTTTTTTTTTTTTCTGGAACCAGGGATTGAACTCAGGCCCTTGTGCTTGCCAGGTAAGCGCTTATTCTACTGAGCCATCTCCCTGGCTTGATATTGGTATTGATGGGGACCCAGGTGCTTACTATTTGAGAAGGGAAGAAATATGGGGCTGGTGAAGAACAGAAGAACTCTGGTGCTTGATTTGAATTGGAGAAATAGCTATAGATAGATGTTCATTTATTATTTAACCACCTATCCTACCTCTAAGGCCCGGTATCGGATTCTAAACACCATTTCCAGCTCTGAGGAACCAGTGGCTGATTCTGGATGAACATGGAGGGCTCAGAAGATCGCTTAGAGGTCTAAGCATCTGCCTGGCAAGTGCAGGGACCTGAATTTGATCCTGGGTACTGCATGTCATGCTGGCCCTGCCCTGGGTGTGCCATGCCAGCCACCAAAACTGGGCGTGAGTGCTCACACCTATAATCCCACTGCTGGGAAGGCTGGGACAGGAGGATCACTATGGAGCTATGTAGTTAGACCCTGTACCAAATCAGTAAGTAAATAAATAAATAATTCTTTAAAAAAGATGGGGCTGGGGAGATGGCTCAGTGGAATAAGTGCTTCTCTGGCAAGCGCAGGGGCCTGAGTTCATTCCCCGGTTCTGCCAAAAAAAAATAAAAATAAATAAATAAATAAATAAAATAAAAAAGATGAACCTGGAATACTTCCTTTTGGCCCAAAGTATAGAGGTACTTACAAAAAAATGACAGGGACACACAGAGGGACCTTCTGCTGGTCAAATTTGACCAGCTGAGGATCAAGATATGTCATGATAGTTATGGACTATAATCCACTGATTGAAATAAAAATCAATATTGTATAATAATAAAACAAATGTAAATATATAGATTATATAGAGATATAAAAGAAATGATGGGGCTCAGTAGCTAATATTTACAACCATCTTTGCAACGTTGATTCAGGGGATTTGCTTCAGAGGATGTTGAAGCTCATGGGTGAAAGTTGATGAGAAATGAGGAATTTATGGTTTACAACATGTCCCTCTAGATTACTGGTTAATCACAAAGGGGAAAAATGGTAGTTTTACCCTGGAGAAACCTGCTGACATCGCTTCAGTGAAGGGACCAAATCTGATACCTAGAAGAATGGGATCCGTCCCTCCTGGTATAACACACCCAGGGCCCATCATCCATGTCCTGCTCTCAGACATACAGAGCCTGAATCTGATCAGGACAAAGTAGTGGACAAGCTGAAGTGGAGAGACCTTATGTAAAGCAACTCGCAGGTACTCCGCAGAATGGGAGGAATGTGGCTGGGCACACACCTGCATTCTCAGCTGCTTGGGAGGCCAAGGCAAGAGATTGCAAGTTTAAGCTTGGCTCAGGCAACGTGTCTCAAAATAAAATTTTGAAAAAGGAGGGAGGCTAGGAGGTAGTTCAGTGCTCCCTGGGTTCAAGTCCCAATACAAAAAAAAAAAAAAAAAAAAAAAAAAAAAAAAAAAAAAAAAAAAAAAGGCCCAAAATGTCAAAATGTCAAAGTTCTTAAGAAAAAACAAACAAAAAACTGAGGAGCATTTATAGAGTCACAATAGCTAAATGCAGTGGGTGACCCTAGCCTGGATCCTGACTGGACAGGGTTACCTGGTGTGGCAGCTCCTCTTCCCTGGGATGAAATGCCTAATGCACATAGCTTAAGCAGGAGAGGATATTTTTGGAGAGAGTACAATATGGAAAAGGAAAAAAAAGAAAAAAGCATAAATCCATTAGCAGTGATACAGAGGGGAGATAGCTCTCCTCAGAGGGAGATAGCTCAGAGGAATAAGTGCTTGCCTAGCAAGCACAAGGTCCTGAGTTTGATCTCTGGTATCACCAAAAAAGAAAAAAAAAAAAAAAGGTTAAAGAAAGGATACAGAATGTCACCAAACATAATAATAGAAATTTGATAATAGTTGATGTATTACATAATTTTTCTAAGGGGAGGGAGGTACTGGGGATCGAACTCAGGACCTTGCCAGACAGGCACTTATGCCACTGAGCTATCTCCCCCCGCCTTAACATAATTAGTTTTTTCAAACTAGTTGTTCTGGGGCGGAGGGGCTTATTCTGGCTCCTGGTTTCAGGTCAAAGTCAGTTGGCTCTCAGAAGGGCCTGGTAGCACAGAGGTGCTCACCTCACTGCAGTCAGGAAGTAGACAGCAGAGGCTGAAGCAGGGAGGAGCAGGCTAGGGCATTCTTTGAGGACACGCCCCCAGTGATCCACATCCTCCATTAGGCCTGCCTACTCACAGCCCCCTCATCTGTGAACTCATTGGTGAGTTAATCCCTTGATGAGGTTGACCCTTCTCCCATTAACCTCCAAAGCCTCACCTCTGAACGTAAAAGTCTTCCTGGGGACATCTTTTAAATCTAAACCATAACCCGTGAGGTGATAACTGGTGTTCCTTTCCTGACAGAAGAACTGTTCCCACTGATAGCTGCTTGTTTCTCCCCCCGCCACACACACAGGGTCTAATAGTTCAGGCTAGCCTTGAACTCATTATGTAGCCCAGGCAGGCTTCAAATTCATGGTGATCGTCCTTCCTCAGCCTCCCAAGTGTGGTATCATAGGTGTGTGCTCTTTTTTTTTTTTTTTTTTTTTTTTTTTTTTTTTTAGGTGTGTGCTCTTGCGGGTCACCTATGAACGGTAATAGCACAGAGATTCACTGCTTAGCAACGGGGAGGCGGCTCAGGTTCTCCTGGCAGTGGTAGGTAGAGAACTACCAGGTGGGTCCTCAAATGACAGTCAGCTGAGTTGATAATGAGAGTCTTTTTTTTGAGCCTCAATTATTAGCACAGGATGTTGCAGCAATGGCCGTGTGTGTGTGTGTGTGTGTGTGTGTGTGTGTGTGTGTGTATTGCGTGTAGTCCACATCAACCCACATGAGCATCTGTGCCTTGGAGTGGGGCTGGAGTGGCCATGTGCTAGGACTGCAGCCTGGAGGAAGCTCAAGCGTGGACTAGTTTTGGTACAGACCAGTGGGGGCTCACACTGAATAAACCTACCTGCACTCATCTGAAGTTTAGTTTAGCACATCGTGGTAGACAGCCCTGGTGAAGTAGGACCCAACCCTCTCTCAGCTGTGCCCCCAACCACAGAGCCTTGAGGAGCTGTTGGTCTGGTCCCAGTAATGAAGTTCCTTTTTTTTTTGTACCAGGGATCGAACTTAGGACCTTGTGCTTGCCAGGCAGGCGCTTATGCCACTGAGCTATCTCCCTGGTCCTGTCCCAGTAACGAGCCCCCACCATGCCTATCACTTCAGGAGGCAAGGCTGTGGGTCACAGTCACGCCAGGGTTAGTGGGGGCTGGAGGAAACAGCAATCATGCTCCGAAGGACAGGCGGTCTGAGAAGAAGCAGTGACACAGACCCAGTAACCCACTGCTCCGGAGGAGATGGAAGTGACCTGTTGGAGAGATGCCTGCACCCAGTGCTTCCTGCAGCACTACTCAGCAGTCATGCTGTGGGATCCGCCTAAGTGTCCATCCACGCTGAAGGGGTAAGACAAATGTGGTATGCTCGGGGCTGGAAAAGAAACTATTCGTTCCTTGACTGTGTGGCCATGCTGGTTTTGAGAGTTTGCCTGATCAGCTTGTCAATAGAGCCATTCAGCAGGGCTTTTGCCTCAACATTCTCTGTGTGGAAGAGACTTCAACTGGAAAATCAACACTGATGAATACATTGTTTAATATTAATTTTGAAAAACATGAATGCTCACATTTTTGCCCAAATGTTAAACTTAAAGCTCAGACATATGAACTCCAGGAAAGTAATGTTTGGTTAAAATTGACCATTGTGAGTAGAGTGGGATTTGGTGACCAAGTAAATAAAGAAGAAAGCTATCAACCCACCGCTGACTACATAAGTGCTCAGTTTGAAGCCTATCTCCAAGAAGAACTGAAGCCCAAGCGCTCCCTCTTCAACTCCCATGATTTCTTGCATCCATGTGTGCCTCTACTTCTTCACCCCCCGCAGACCACTCTCTAAAGATACTCCACCTCTTAACCACGAAGACCCTGGCTAGCAAGGTGAATATTATACCAGTGATTGCCAAAGCAGATACAATTTCTAAAACTGAATTACAGACGTATAAAGTTAAGCTCATGAGTGAGTTGCTCAGTAATGGTGTCCAGATATACCAATTCCCAACAGACAATAAGACCATTGCCAAGATCAGCGCTACAATGAATGTAAGCTCCTTCTGGAATGCTAAGTTTGCTTCTTATGTGAAAATAAAGCTATTTATGGCAAAAAAAAAAAGAAAAGAAAAGAAAGAAAGAAAGAAAAAGAAAAGAAAGAAGGCCAGGGAGATGGCTCAGTGGAATAA